AATACATGTGGAACTTGGTCAATGTTAAATGCATATGTGTTTAAGATTGCTCAGTCACCGGTGTTTGTTTTGCTATATTTCTTGTCCACTTTAGGTACATTTCTTATGTTATTCTGACATGTCCTCCTGCAAATGATCACACACCAAAACTTGTGGAAATTGTTAGTTCCAAAGCCTAATGTCTAAGTTTGGTGTTTATTTGAGCATATTTAAATGAAAGTTGGCTGTTAGAAATTGGAGTTAAGGACCGCCAACGATGATGTGCAGGTGTTCAGCGTTGAAACGGTCGACAACAATAGAGAAGGTCAAACGAGTTCGTACCGATGGATTGGGAGCGGTGAAGAACAAATCTTTTGATTGTCAGCTTGAATTCTTTCAACCTATTGTTTGTGTGTCGTGTGCACTATCTATTCTCAATGGCAATTAGTTGGATGCAATTTGTGGTTATCAAATGTTTTTGTAGTGTATGTCTTCATATTTTAAAGGAAATATGTGTTCAGCTGTTTCAATATGGCATTTGTTTTCTATATTGATATATGGATGGATGAAAACATGTGATGTAGCATTAATACATGCCTTCGGATGACACTTTATTTGTTTTAAATGTGAATTTCAGTTTGAATTGTAGTAATTGAATTTGGATCGTTTGGATAGACTATTAATATTATTGTTTGGGTTGGTGTAGTGTCAACTAGATAGACTACACAGAGTATACATGTGAGCAAAGAGAGAGAAATAGAAGTAGGGGCTTTGTTTTCAAGGACTTTACTCAAATTGAGCCCAGAAAATAGGGCTCTTAAAATTAGAAGAGCCCTCAAATTAGAAATAGGGGTCTTAACTTGAGGGCTTTTGTTGTAGTAGTTCTAAAATCGTAATAAACTCTATTTAGGCCCCGTTTGGACGATAGAATCGGATTCGATTCTCACGTGAGTCACCAGAAATTGCTCCAAATGGTGTTCAGCTGAATGAATAACGTTTCAGTTCCACGTTTCCTTCAGGAAAGTTAGAAACCACGATATGATAGTTTGGCATAGAATCGTTTCAGATTCTTTAGCGCACTTATGAGCTACCAATTTTATTTTTTTCAGTTGCAATCCTTTTTTTAGTGCAACAAATTAAAATGGGTTGTATTCAATTTATTCTACATCAACAAAAAGTTTAGATTTTTTTGAAGCATATTTTATTTATATAATTTTTTAAGAAAATATATATCTCTCCATGTGAATCAGAACCTAGCCTACCAAATAAACGATCTCACAAAGTGATTCTAATTCATCACATGAAACGTTTCTTAAGAGAATCTGGATCCGAAGCATTTCTAGGAGAATCTGGATCCCTACCAAACGCAACCTTAGACTCAACAACCATTACTTTGCTCTGCTTTATACTTATTCTGAATGCACTTATTTTCATTTTTTGCGATTCTATAGTTAAATAACTTCTGATTGGCTCCTTGGAAGGTTACATTCCATCAATTATGTGGTTAGTGAAGTGTGTCTTTCACTGTCACCGTCCTGTTAATATCGTACTCGAAAGAAAAAATAGGTGGAGTGTGCCTATTCTATCACTGTTAGAAAAATAGGTGAATACCCACCTAGCTTGTCGCTGCAATCTACTCTTCGAGTCTCTTTTAACTGTCGTTCTCATTTTCTAAAAAGTCAAACATACCTAACTATAACCAAATATATAAGAAAATATTAATTTATGTAAATAATTAGTATCATTAGATAGATCCTTGGATCTATTTTCATAATGAATTTATTTGGAGATACAAATATTGCTAATATTTTTCATAAACCTAGTCAAATTTAAAAAAGTTTGACCAGCACAAATACCGTAGCGACACTTAAAAATAGACAGAGAGAGTAACTAAAGGAATTGAAAGAAAGAAAAAGGTGCAGGCAACTTAAAACTAAAGCCTGTATACCTGTAGCTACAGTATATTACGTATTTATTATTGGTTCTATAATGATTCTAGGTGATGTACATTTTCGGTGGCATGTCTCATATACCTACTTGCCGCGTTCTCCTCCTTGCTCAAAAGAGTCATCGATGAGATTCGGTTGCCCAAATATACTAAATCTCATCTCCTATGCTCCAGGCTGCCTGAAATTGATTTCAAACATCGGTGCACTCGCCAGCGAGGGGTTTCGAGGGTGGGTTCCTGGGTAGGGATGGCAATTGTAGCCACAGGTTTCGTACTTGATGGGTGTGCACGGGGACGAAAGCTCACTTGCGGGTACAGGAGGGGTCGGTACCTGGAATAATGCGGGTATCAAAATTTTACCTGTGGGTAATTTACTATAATATGTGGCAAATGTATATCATGTCCATTAGCTCATTTAACATGTAAGCATATGCATAACACGTTGAACTATGAAGATGAAATTTTCCATGGATGGCTGAATAAAGGGATTGTGTGAGCTATTAACTTGCTACATTAGTTCTTGTAAAAGTCGTGTTGTGTTATTTCTATGAGCACGAATGATTGAACTATGAATCTATGATGTATTGTGGTTTCTGGGCTACTATATATTGCCCTACTGAACTCTATGTAAGTGTGACTGACAGATTTGTGTGAGGCTTAACTATAAATTTCTTATTTCATATCCCTATGATTTTATTATTTGATCTCTCTTGATTATACCGGACGGGTACCCGATACGCGTCAGGTACCCACCCGGCGCGGGTAAGAATCTTACCGACAGGCATGCTTGCTGTGGGTAAAACTTATGGTCGTTGGTATGCTCACGGGCGGATAAATTCTTTACTGATGCCTTACCCAATCCGCTGCCATCCCTATTCCTGGGTTGATTGTGCTCTCTAGCTATAGAAAGGGATTTTGGGGAGGCAACCTGGCCAGGTGGAGAAGGTGGCCAGGGGGCATTGAGCAACAAGCGGTGGGACCGCCATTGGCCACGGGCAGAGGAGGACGGTGATTGCACCAGGAAATGGCACGAGAGTCGTTGGGATAGCCCAGCTACGCCGCATTAGTGCGATGGGGTGGCACTGGGGCTGGACACAATGGCCACGAGGTTGGCGAGGACAAAGGCCGGTGGTAGGTGGGGGCAAAATCAGCACCCGAAACAAGTAGAAACAAAGAAGATGTTCACTCCCAAGGTTAAAGATGGATGATGACGATTGGATTTAGGCGTTGTTGTTCGTCGTCTGAAAGGAAAGAAAAAATCGGGTGCCTGTGATTTAGTACTCTCAATGTGGCTAACTTTCCTATTTCCTATGTTTTTGTTGTAAAAAATGAACTAACTCACGTGAAATTCATGTGTTCAAAAGGGTCATAAATAAATGATTAATTATGGCAACTATAGAGGTTTTGCTTTCTCACAATAGATTGGTTAGACCTGCCAATGTTCACATGAGGGTGTATTTAGTTGAGCGCCTGCCATGTAGCTCCTGCGCCGCCAGGCAGCAATCTCAGCCCTAGGCATTAAAATGGGATGCCTGGTGACGCTACCTGCACTTGGCAAATTCTGCCAGGAGCCAACCAGCAAATAGGCGAGTGCACGCGTATCAAAGAAAGGTTATGAGTTATAAATAAACAATGTAAAAGATGAATATTTGATATTTGAAATCTGTGTAAAATTTGAAAATAAAATAATATTGCGGTTGTTGAATAAGAAGTTCCAGTCTAATGGAACCAGCAGTGATAATGGTTCTCGGCTACTATAAATGAAAGTGATATTGGTTCACTACCACTTTGTGGAGGTGTAGCCACAAAGCCGCAGTGAAAATATACCTATCGATGTTAGTTTGTACCTACGTGTTACTTGGTTTATTACTTTTTCATATGGAGCCGAATCATGACAAACTTTATCCTAAAATTGTAGAGTTCAAAAAGATCAAAAACTTTGTTGTTCGTAGATGTTTTATTTGAGATGGTCCATATGTACAAATATTCCATATAAATTCTTGTAGCCATTAAACTATCTCGGATGGAGACAAGTTGTGTAGTGCTCGATAGGATTTACAACTTTACAGTTTATAGTTTTTATTTGAGACTATAAGTTTTAAATATGCAATAATACAATATCGTAAATGTAAAGTTAATAGAATAACACCGTTATATAATCAAAAGTTGTTGCATAGCTGATATGGTAATTAAGAACACTATGCGTGAGGCTTGAGGTTCATTGGTTCAGAGTCCTTAGAAGTAGGTTCTAAAAACTGATAGTACGTAATGGCTAGTATTTTGGAACTGGTCCGAAGTGATAGGTATTTGTCCAAGACCGGACGGTTCTTAAAACTTGTAGTAATTGACCACAGTTTAAAACTGAAAGTGATAGGTATTTTTTTGTAGTAGTGATTAGGCTATCTATAACAGTACATATATATACTACTAATGTATGCAGGGTCAGGGACGTGTATGAGTTTGGGGTTCCGTTGTGGGCTGATACAGAAAGCTAAGGTGGTGGACGTGCATATATAAGGAGCCCAAGCCCAAGTGATACTTGGATTCATATTGCACTATGATTTCAGTCGTCTATAAGAAACGTGCTTCGTTTCTTTGGCAAGAATATATTGTATATTTCGCGTGAGTTGGACTAGTCCTACACTAGTAGATTTGGATATGATTGAAATGATACGAGTGAAAACAACGAATCATTTATACTGTTACAATGCCTTGCGTAAGCGTTAATAAGACGGTCGTCGATTTTTTTTCCCCCATGTTTGATATTGCTCCGTTGACTAGCTCAAAATCAAATGACGGCGGCATGCAAACAGCAGTGATATGCATGTTCTCAAGTTGAGTATATATTCTTCCAGCGTAACACACCAACAACATCATCACAGAACACTAGTAAAATTTATTTCCAGTGCTTGCATTATATATTTATATATGTTTCCGATCGGCAATTATTCGTTGGCTGATCAGCATCAACAGAGACAAGAGCAGCAGAGATATGATCTAGAATGCAGGCCACATGCTGCATCTTACTATGGATGGATCGGAGATACGTAGCAATTAATAATAATATCGTTCGTCAGTTTGTTCCGAAGTTGACGACGGAGCGGTAGGTGTTGCCGGGCTGCCATCCGGCGGGGATGACGTTGCTGGCGACGAGGGTGTTGCCGGAGCCGGAGGTGAGGCGGGGGCCCTGCAGGCTGGAGCCGGACTGGTAGCGCCACACCGCGCCCCAGGAGCGCTCCATGGGCGCCCACGCCGCGCCACTCTGCATCTGCAGCTCCACGGCGCCCAGGTCGCCGTCCCTGGACTCGTACTCGATGGCCATGGCCAGGTAGTTGGCGTTTGAGCCCGCGTCCACCCTCGAGCTTACATGTTAGCTTTTTAATCTCCTTTACTTACATGTTAGCTGTAGCATTCAGAGGCATGTGTGTGACGTGCGTGTGTGCAAGAATGCTACAGCTAGCTAGCTTGTTGGCTGTTACGTTTCCACCCCCCGAATAATCCCGATCCACAACAGAAAAAAAAACAACCTCGCGCCTCAAACTGGAACAGAGAGACAGATCAGTACTGCTGCAGCTGCAGGGATCAGCGCCAGTAGACCGCATGTATGCATCAAAAGCCGGAAGCATCTCTGATCGATTTCTTCTCACTTTCCGCTAGCGCAACAGAAGACACCTTGTTGTGATGCACTAGGCCGGGCACACACGGCTAGTTGTATATACGTTCGTGTCGTGTTCATATATAATCACTTTCTTCATATGATGTGAAACAAAGGAAGCTGCTGCATACTTAGCACAAGTGCCGCCGGTTACAACTAACTCTCTGCAGGTGTGTTGTTATTCAAGTTTTATCCTAAGTGAAATCATGTTTAAGTTTCACCAACACTACCACACACACACGATTTTGCCAGCCGCCCCTAGATGCGGTTGCTACAAATCGCTGATTTGTAGGAGCGGTTGGCCAGCCGCCCATACAAATCAAATTATTAAGGGCGGCTCAAGATTTGTAAGGCCGTCCCTACAAATCAATTTTCCAGAAAATAAGAAGTCAGCCTAAAAAAATAACAATTTTTTTAATCTGGGGAGGCCCCATTGATCAGCCACGCTTCGTGGCCGCCGGGGTTCGAAACCGCACGTTGGGCTCGTGCGTTCCCTTCTCTAACCACTCCACCCATCACTCATTTGTGTCTATAATTGATTTTCTTTCCCCACATATCATGCTAAACAGAGTTTAAATTGATTGTTTGAGGCCCTAAACGAATTCAAATGAAAAAGTTGTCAATTATAAATTTCATAACTTTTTGAGATCTACAACTTTTATTTTGGTAGTTTCTCTGTCCGAGGTCGTTTGAAAATTTTGAAAATCAAATTTTAAAAATTCAAACGTAGTTTTCCTTGACAAAATGAATTCAAATAAAAAAGTTGTCAATTACAAAGTTCTATAACTTTCTGAGATCTATAACTTCTATTTTGGTTATTTGGTCATCCAACCTAGTGGTAGTAACATTGTTCATAAATTTAACATATCTCTCTTATAGTTTATGAAACTATAAGAGCAATATGTAAATTTTGTGAACAATATTACTACCACTTTGTTGGATGAAGAAATAATCAGAATAAAAGTTGTAGATCTTGAGGAGTTCTACAACTTTTATGTTCATGACTTTTTCAGCTGAAATTATTTATTATTTCAAAATGATATTTGAAGTTACCATTTTTTGAAATTCAAAATTCAAATAGATAAAACACAGTCACATGAAAAGGTGGGTAAAATAATAGCTGTAAGAACACAATAAATTGATAGAGCATGATTTTAGAAAATTTTAGAAAAAAAATTATCAAATTTAAAGTTAGTACGAGGAAAAAAGACTAGTTACAAGTTTTAGCCAAAGATTAAAATGAGAAATCAGTGTTCTTCAACAATTTCAAAATTGAATTTCAAACAGCATTTTGAAGCAGTAAATTATTTCAAATGAAAAAGTTTTAAACAACAAAGTTTTATAACTTTTCGAGATCTACAACTTTTATTTTAGTCATTTCTCCATCCAAGATCGTTTGAAAAAATTCAAATTTTAGTGTTTAATTTTTACTATTCAGCGTTTATTTGTAGGGCAAGCCATTTGTAGGGACGGCTGATAACACTAGCCCCCAGCCTCTAAAAAAAAGGGGACGTTGCTACAAATCCTTTTGTAGTAGTCCAAGTTTATAAAGAAAACAACCTTTATGACACGGGATCTAATAGGCATAAAATGGAAATCTTAATCTGTTATTTCTATATAACAGTGCTAAGGAATCTTCTTCACATTCGTTGAGGAGGTCTAGAAATTACATGCTGTTTGAATCTACCAGAATAAATCAAATCAAAGAGTTCGTACCTAATACCATTAATAAATAGTAAATTAAGAATAATAAATTAAATTAAATAGCAATTTGATTTCCGCATGAGTTTAGAGAGAAAAAATACCTAAATAAAGATGATGCAATAAACACAATTAGTAAGGTAAAATTTGAACAAAAGACTATAAAAAACTAATACTTTGATCTCCAAATGAATCTGAAAGAAAAATATCTAAATAAATAGTCAATATGAATTATAATTAGAAAATATCTAAATTTAATATTGATTTTTCAAAAAACTATTATTTTGATTTCCGTATGTTCAAAAAAACACACACGTACATATATATAAAATGTCAATGTATTGCCATAAGTAAAGTTAAAAGGTCATCTTTTTAACACTCAAGTGAAAGAAAAAAAACTACTATATTGATCCTATACGTCAGTATGTAACGGCCTAGGTCTATCAAAAGCTATATATATATATATATATATATATATATATATATATATATATATATATATATATATATATATATATATATATCCAGAACAAATTCTAGTATCAAAAGAAATGATTGTATAGAATTGAAATATCATTACAACTTGACTTGATTCTTTCATTTAATAGAAAAAATAAGGAAAGTACTGACAACGTCTATGGGACGGATAAAATGCACGCGTCAGAGCTATCTAAGCTGGCCACTAATATCTTTGGAAAATTCCATAAAAATTATTGAAGCACATCAAATTCCCATGCCACTCCTTCCCTCGTCGTGCTATAAGCCTCGCCATCTCGAACTATTCTTTCATCATAGCCCTAAGAAGCCAAAGGATGCTAGTCCAGTTGGTCGTCACTCCAACGGCACCCCCCAGGTCCTGAGTTCGAACCCCGGCTGGGGTGAATTTCAAGCTGGGGTAAAAAAAAAATCCCCTCGATGCAGTAGTTAGGGTTCGGAGGGTTTTCTCGGTCGGGGACTGGAAATCTTCTCCTGTCAAGTCTGGTACAGCCTGTGGACCGTGTGTGTGCGCTTTGAGTGCCGCACGGCTCAGGTCCGGTAGGTGCCTAATACCGTGGGGGCAGTCTGTACCCCACCGGCTGAGTTTTTTTATCATAGCCCTAAGCACGATGATCTACTCTTTTCATGTGTGTTCATGCTTGGAAAGTTTTAGCATAACCATATGCATTGGTGCTAGAAATCATGCAAGCTGAGGACCTTGGTAGTTTGTTCTTTTTACCTTTGTTACAGCAAGCTTTTGAGGAACTTGAAACACTCCAAGCACAGCTGCAAGACATACCTTATGATGATCATGCTACAGACCACTGGGTTCCTGATTAGGGAGGTGCATATACTTCACGGAGATTTTATTCACACGTGTTCGAGAATATGGAAGCACACTCGGCCTTCAGTATAATTTGGAAATCTAGATGCACTCCACATGTGAAATTCTTTGATTGGCTAATCCTTGTTGATCGACTCAATACCAAAGATATGCTGCAGAGAAGACATCTAGATGTTCAAGATGACGATATATGTGTTATGTGTGACAGTGGAGACGTGGAGACCATTGATCATCTCTTTTTTGACTGTGCCTTTGCGAAGGAGTGCTGGAATACCATACACATTGATTGGGATGCATCATTAACTCTGCTGGACAGATTCATTCAGGCCCAAAGTGCACATACCATTCCTTTCTTCACAGAGGCAACATTGATAGTGGCATGGGAGATATGGAAAGTGCGCAATGATACTCCTAGTTTATGGTTATCGAATTTTAAACACCAGTGTAATCTTCAATCTGTACGTTACAAGGATGACCTTAGGTCATCCTTCTGTGTGTGGTTAGATGCTTTCAGTTAATCCTGTATGTAAGACTCTCTGTACTCCCTTTGTTTTAAAATTAATTAAAATCGTGCACTGTGGGGATTTGTCTTTACTCCTCTAGAGCCTAAGAGACCATAACAAAAGAAAAGATTCATCCTAGCGAGCGCGCTCTTAAGCGTAATAGCTTTTGTGTTGCCAATTATTAAAAACTAGAAGCATACCTTGCATGTCACGACCTTGCTCGGGGTGGCCGTCTAGGGGAAGGTGGCGCTATGGTGGGGTAGTGGTGCTAGGGCAGAGCCGGCTATAGATGGTGGTGGCAGCGTGGCTAAGGGGCTATGGCGCTAGGGCAGAGGGGCTGGCGCGAGCAAGAGGAGAGGAGGGCGGTGGCACAGGAGAAGAGAGAAGGGGATAGGGGAATAGATTATTTATTTGCTTAAGTTTTGAAAGGTGACATTGCTCCTCTATTTATAGTCTTGGAATACTTGACCCCTAAACATTGTAAACTTATCCTCTAAGCAATTAATAAAAGAGTTCTTATAGATTTGGATAACTTTGTTTACAAGCAAACTATTTATTTTCTAACAAATCCTGATCTATTTTATCTAAGCAAATCTCTTATTCATTTTCCTACCTTTTCCGACTTCCCTATTTTATTCTAGGTCTCCTCAGATGTCGGAAGGGTATGGGGAGCGGTGGTGATCCGCCCCCTGACCGCGTGCCCTTGCCGCCGAGCGTCTGAGTGGTGCAAGGGATGGCCAGGGCTAGGTCACGGGCTCCTCCTGGCCCGCTTAGCCCGACGTTGGGCCTCTGATCTAGGCGCAAAACATATCCCACCTTCTCTACTCGGTGTGTCCTCTCGCCGAATCATAGTCCAGTGTTGGATGCCGTCCACTAGAAGGTTGAAAGGTCCTAACGGCTAGAGGGGGTGAATAGCCTATAAAAATTTCTACAACAACACTTAAGCCAAGTGGTTAGACAATTAAGTGACGAAGTGAATGTTGCGCTAGCCTACTAAAAATACAACCACCTATCCACAATTCTAGTTCCTAGGATCTCTATTTCACACAAGGGCTAAGTCACTACTCTCTAAGTTAGTGAGCTCTCAAAGACTAACTAAAGAGCCTCACTAACCAAACTAACAAGACATAAGTTAGCTCTCA